AAGCAGGCAATTCAGCGGACGAGTCGTAGCGCGTACTGTAGTGATTTCGCGTCAAGTTAAATAGAATGTACCATTGTACGTCCTACATCGCACATCACGCGCTGCGACTCGTCCGCTGACTGCCTTCTTGCCGCGCGACGGGCCTCCTGTGTAGTACCCGACACCTTTAGCTATACCCATTCAAACTGGTCACACTGTCGTTTCGAAGGCATATTCTGCACGAAACTTTGCATACCATCCCTAATGATCGTATATAGCACTCTTATGGGGGGAGGGGTGGGAAAGACCACCTTCCGTGGATGATTCCTTTGAGTCCTTCTCGATTCCTAATGGATGTCAAATGCGTGGCGCATCTCAAAAAACAAAGGATGGACATCGACCACGTCATCCTTAATCGTACGAGGGAGTTGAGCAGCTTGCTGTGGAATAGCTAGAGTGTCAACCTCTACCACTTGGTACTAAATCAAGCATTATCGAAGTAAATGAATGGAAGAGGTGCTGCCTACCTTTTCCAATGCAATGTGATAGCCCTCCACAAAGATGTCACATCTTAAGAGGAAGCCACAAAGGAGAAAAAAAGGAGAATGAATGAGAAATGTATGGAACCTAATTTGTGCTCATTGTGTCTTGCTATTACTAGGTAAATTGTCAGGCTTCGATTCTGATATAATAAGATTTTGCTGAAACCCCAACCCATTCAGTCTTCTTACCTTTTCATTTTTTTCTCTCTCCAGTCGCTCCGTCTTTGTCTTATTGAATTTCTTCAATTGTTCCTTCGTTTTGGTTCCATAGCTCCGTTTTTATCTCCTTGCCGTCGTCCATACGGTTTTCTTTCTTCGATGCTTCGTTCTAGGCTCTACTGGCTGACTTTCACTAGTGCGTTTAATCAATTCGTGTTGTTACGCTCCATTCTAGTGAGAAAGTGACAGCGCCAGCCAGCCATATGATAAACCCCAATTTCAGTGACGTTTACTTCACAATTCTGAATTTGGTGTGAAAAGGGAAATCTACCATATTACGGCTTGTGTTCGATTTTAGGCCAATATATTACAAAATTGATTATGGCAGGGAAATAAGCAAGTTTTATAGTGCATATAGTTAGATATTAGTGCTGTGAAATGACGTGTGATCAGAGGTAGATGTAGGGTGCTTCTTTGAAGGTATCTTTGGTCCATTGTTGTTCAGTTCGAAGGTGTTAGTTGAGCAATCTTCCCTTGTTCCGTTCACAACGGCCATTCAAGTTTCTTCCACGTCTCAACTCCTGTGGAAATGTCGTCATCGTATATTTTCCCTTTCCACTGACATCGTGAGCCTTTTGTGAAGCAGCCTTCACGAATGTTGTACTAATGTAAATTAGTTGACGAGTTGTTAGCATTCGAATGATGGGAAAGCCAAGAGTCAGTGCCGTTAGCTTGATGAAATTAGTCGCTCTCATAGCAATTTTTCTTTGTTCCACAGTTTTCACGGAAATCTCATTACCGTCATATTTTCATGCAGGCAGATATAGTAGAGACTTTTTGGTTTGATTGTTCTTTATATTTGGCTTCCAAACACCTCATTTCTACCTCTATATCATTTTTACTTCTTGGTGAGTCCTTTTCCGGCAAGTCTGGTCAGCGTTTTCATGGATTCGTCGGTCTTCACTGATAATGATAGGCCCTGCTCCTTAGTGGATGTGGACCTAGTAGACGTTTCGTTGCAGATTAAACAATCAATTGGTGACTCCATTTCGAGAGCAACATTAATTACTGCGCTCGTCGTCGTCGCTTCGAAACCGTTCTGGATATACGAAATACCCGCGTTCTTTCACATCATGACTTCTATCTGATGTTGCTGTCATTTCTAGTTCTGTTTTTCTCGAAGTCATCTCAATATCCAATATTTCCATTAAAAAAGGTTTATATACGCTCAACTGTGTGGGGTGTAAGGGAGGATATATCCTATGCAGAAGAGTATAAAAGTTATATAGTGGATTGGGTAGGAGACCTACCCAATGAGATGACAGGTGAAGCTTTCAGCGGCTGTGGCGCGATGGGGCGCTGCAAAAGAGCTCCACGATGTTCCGGAACTCTTGCCCACGTACAGTTCCGGGCGTAGAAGGGGTTGCTACGGCTGCGTGCTCGACGTGTATCTCCATCTCTAGGCCAGCATGATCGCTTCTCTTCAATTCCCTAGTCCTTTTCTTCGCCTAGTGATGTAAAAGTAGCTGCTATTTTGCACGGTTTCGGACATACTACTTTTCCTTTTCACCCATTTTACTGGGTTTTTTCTTTGATATCATTTTGGAGAAATGTTATGATGGCATTCTCCCAGTACTGGGTTGAATATTTGAATTTGTGGTAGGCGGAACCAATCGTTCACTCGACTTTCCTTTTGATTCAATTAAGTCGGATGAACGCTTTTGTACAGAGAAGCTGCGCGGTTGGTTGTCAAAACTTTTGTTGGCTTTGGCGAGCATTTTCACGAGAGTGATCGGTCATTTTGACGAATCGGCAGGACTGCGACTATTTGTGCATGGATTATATCACAGGCTGACGGTTTTGAATGACATCGAGTTTGAAAACAGCCGCAGTGAATTCTATGGAAAGCTTTGCGTGTTATTGAATGCTTTCTATTGAAGCTCTGATGTTTTCCATAAAATTCAATTTCAACTAGGAACTAGAATTTCCAGATATTATTACCATATTTGCTGTGATGCTGCGGAGGTTTGTTCTCAACAGAATCTGGATTGAAAAGTATTCACTGAATTGTGTAAGCGTTTTACTGAGCATAGACTGGGAATTGATGTTTTCGTAGCCACGATGCTTGCGCTACAAATCTTTTTGCCTGGTTCATAAGATTTTGTAGCCCTTCTAGGCCTATTTTGGCTTGTAAATGACATGGAAGGGGTCGTGGGAGTACAACTCCAAGAATGTGCGCCAAATGAATGCTGTCCAGAGGAATTCGTTAGGAACAGCAATCCGTCTTCTTTCTCTTTCCGTCCTGCACAACTTTTGCTGGAATCATCATTTTATTTCTATAATTGCTATTCTGTCATCTGGCTGTAACGGGGTGATATTAGTGCTTATTAGAGGTAAATGTGGGCAAAAGTGGTGTAGTGGCATGTGGTGTCGTTTACGATGGGTATGATGCGGGGATCAAAGCTTGGATCGTATGCCGTGAAGGCCAAGCCAACGTTGCTCCCTTCTGGGAACAGTTTTGGGCTACCAGGCTTTTTCAAAAATTGATTGTTCACTCAGCTAGTCCCGATATCATTGTATAGAGTCAGTATTCAAAATGCGGCTGGTGATCGCATTGCTGAAGGAAGTAGATGTAGTGCGGACGGGATTGATCTTCGCGGAATTACTTTATTCCTCAGTTCTTTTGGAAAGGCGCAGGGAGTGGACGATACTCATTGTAACACAGATAGCCAATAGGTTTCTTTGAGAGGACTCTCTTTGCAACGTTTTTTGAGAAGTCCAGCTGTCAGAAGCAGTGTCATCATGCAAGTAGATCGCCAACATCATCGGTCGTTTCGCTCTTTCTGCCCTCATCTCAAAGTACAAACTAATTAAGCTTTCATTGTCTGCTTATCTGTGGAGTTTTTTCACGGCCTATTATTGGGAAAAATCTTTCATCTGCTGATGCTAGTTAGTTTCCTTTGTGAAGCGCCGCGCTCCTGTTCATGAACATTTTGAAGCTAGAAACTCCAATGAAATCGTAAAGCTACCTGTGATTTGTTGCGTGTTTTCAACTTCCTAGTCGCGTTCGATATGGAAATGATGGCCCATCGGGATGAAGTAGTTGGGTGGCTCGGGTTACATACCATCTCACTTAGCGTGCAGTTGTACGTTGCTCTTGCTGGGCGCCTTCACTCAAACGCAAACCAATTACCTATTTTTGTGAAGGGTGGATTCCGAATCCCAGCATAATTCCACAGGAAAGACTGCTGTGTAATGTCTGTGTGTAAGCTATAACCTTTTTAGAGGCTTCTGCCTTGTGGTTAGAGCTTAAGAAGGAATTTTTGCCCAATTGGTTGGCGTGTAGTAGTTATCCTACATGGCTGTTGTGGAGTAATTCCCATGACAGAGACGGAAATTGCTTCGGCCTGTCCCATGTGGCAAAATACGGCATGGAACGCATTCAGTATCTGCATCCAGGTGCCTTCGGAATGTCTGCCGCGATGAGGGTCAGGGTAGCTTTCCCTGGCTTTTGACGGCCCTTTGCGGCCGGCTAGCTGTGTGCATGTTGAATCGGATTCATTAGCTGTTGTATTCCAACGGTTCACACCACACTCCGTCGCATTCACTCGATGCTCATTCATTCGCGTGGCTGCGCTGTTGTCGATGTTATTTCACCTGTCGTTGTCGCACCTTCCAAGCTTCATCGGCAGTGATTTAAGGCTAATTTGCTCGAAAGTTCCTTACCACTGGCCGCAGTTCGTTCAGCTGTGGTCTGTGTTCCTATACCAATGATTCAAAGTAAGAGGTCCGCGTAGGACTTTTTTGAGTTCAGTTAGTTATTCGGAAACTGAAAAAAGCACGACACTGATTTCTTGGACGAGTGATCTTTGAAACCTCGTTTGCTGTGTAGATTTACTATTATTTTTCGTTCTTTTCCTTAAAGAGAAGCCGCTCGGGACCCCGTTACACATAGAACTTTCCAAAACAGTGGCCAGGATTTTTCAAGCCCTGTTGCTCTCGTCTGTCGCGAGAGGTCCGTCTCTTGAATCATCTACTACTAATAGGCTTTTTTGTGAAGTTTTTCGAATCCTTTTTTGAGCACAAGCGCAATTACAAATATTGAATTATTAGTGCTTTTCCCCGTGTCATCATATTTGCTTATGCCTATGATTAACACTAGCAGTGAGGCGTACTTTGTGAGTAAGCAAATTTTCTTGGCGCGTTGGTTTGCATCACACAACATAATCTCGCAAATCTCAAAAACTATCCTCCTAGAAACGAATCTAGGAAACTTTTTAGGGGCGAAAGAGATGGATTTCGGACCAAGGAAAGTGGTACATGATTACTTCTAGTCTACGGTGTCGAGACTATTTGCAATTTCGCAAAGAAATAGATGGCCCTGCTGCATGCCAAGAGCGCACTTCGTTGCTGGTTATTCGTTCGTATTATCTAATCTGAGATTCTTAGGACTAGCTATTTACCTATGCTTTCTATGCCTCTGTTCCTGTTACTGCCCGAGCATTTCTGCTTGTCTTGTCGATCTCATCATTGCCCTATCAAGTTGTGAATTGCGTAAATGAGTTGCGCGTCGTTGTACTCGGACTACGGTAACATTATCGGTGTGCGCTTCAGATGTATTCGCACTATCCGCGTCAGGTGTGCGTGGATAGCAGCATTGGCGGCGGCGCGGCCACATTTCGATCGTCACCTCGAGCGCTGATCACCTACGAAGTGGTGGAAGCACAGCAGGACGACGTGATGCAGATGACCAATGCGGCCCAGCATCAGCACTTGCAGAACTCGCCGTCTGTCCCGGAAAACAGCCTCGATTCGACAGATTCCATTGCCGAGACACCACGCCTCAGTCCGCAACACCGCCGTATCGCCCTTCGTAATCGCGCTCGAAAAACGTCCACTCGCCAGATGATCCTCGACGAGGACGAAATGCTCAAGATACCTAGCCCAGAGAAGCTAAATAGTATGATGCGTGGTGTGGAGCTGAATGGTGAGTTCGCGTTTCTTTTACAAGCTTGAAACAATCGCGAGAGGGTGGTGCTACCTAAGATTGAAGGAGTTACCCACCACTCGCTCTTGGAAGTCTGATTTGCATGTTAGTGGGAAAGGTCAATAATTCGTTAGCATCACGAAATTTCGTAAAACAGCCTCACCAAACCTTTACAATATATTAATACTATAATACTATACACAATACTTTAATATTGATGTGTGAGGAATCTGATTTTCAGATGTCACAAAGACTTATTTTTGTCGTTCTATTATGACAGTTTGCCTGAATTATCTGAGAGTCGACCGGTATTTCTTCGGGCTCATGTTTTGATTTTCTCTCAACCTTCAAGGTTTAAACAGATTCTCATGGTATTTATGGGCTCTTTTACCTATGCACGATTGCGCGTAGCACATACCTTGGGAAACATGCTAGTTCGAATATGAATTAGGAAAGGATCGAAGAGAGAGAGAAAGAATATTAATGATGAGAGTATGGTCTGGTCGTTTAAACTCATTTTCACGGGAGGTCAAGTTCTGACCTAAGGACCGCGTCTCAATTCACATTAAACAACTGGAATGGTTGTTTGATCAGAATCTGATCTGCGATTGTACGACTGCTATTGTGTGATGGAACTTCTCCTCCGGAATCCCTTTTCATTTGAATCTATTAAATAGTTACATCCAAGAATTTGTGCTCACTCAATTAATAATCAGTTCTGCGATGTATTAGCCCGTGACCATAGTGTGCCAAGGATTTTTCGACCTACTCATGCGTTATACTAGGTTCCTTTGAGGGTGTATCTCGGAAGGCAGAGTAAACTTAACAAGGAAGGTCCATTCAGGTCATGGAGCGCGTTTTATTCCGAATGGCCGATGCATTTGTTGAGGTCATGCAGGAACATTAAAACTAATGGTTGCCTTTTCCTGCTACTTTTCTTGGGGACCATTAAGCGAGTGGGGTGTGAAGAAATGGTCCAAAGTTCAATCGCCGTGGTGACAAATTTTTGCAATCCATGTTGGAGCCTCCAAATTGTCGCCAAATTACGAGGATGACATGTTAATCGACGCTGGTGCCATTTGGACACAATTTGGAGGCGCCAACATAAATTGCAAAAATTAGACATCACGGAGGATCGAACTTTGGACCATCTCTTCTCCACTATTCTGACCTTCCTAGAAGCGTTCAGGAAAAACGGACCATGGTTTTGTGTTCCTCGCATGAGTCTCTACAAAGTGCAGGAAATCATTTTGGAAAGCGCTCCATGTCCTGAAAAAAGACCTCCCTTGTTAGTTATAATGTGGCCCTCAGATATAACTCCCTAGTCGTAAAACATCTTGAGTTCCGCTGAGACCTCATCCGGCCATTTTGTGATGCCGGAATAATGGACGTTAGGATCAGCTCACTCTATTCGTTGTAACCCTATTATCTTACGTACTATGACGATATTCCACGTTTCCTGGGCTGATGAGTAATTATGCCAAGCGGTTTATGATTAACTTGTCTCAGCCTTCCGACTGCGTAACCAAACGGTAGCATGGTTTTGATTTTTTTGGCATTTTTTACGTCCCACAATTGGGTAAGAACGCACCTACTTTCAATCCGTTGATTCTTACGACCTTTCTGCTGAGGCCAGCTTCTCACGGAACCCCTTGAGGGTCCGCTGTTTCCATAGGATGTCGACGCGCTGAGGCAGTTGGTTTGCGTTTTTGGTGAAATATTGCTCGTAGAAGGTGCATAATAGCCGGGTTGGCCGGGATTAGTAGTCGTGTCACGCGCGCCCATCGAAACGGCAGTGGCAGCTGCTCTTGTGCTCGATCAGAGCGGCAGCCGGAGCGTATTGCTTATTAGCACACTAATTTCCTTCTTCTGCCTGTGTGTACGCGCACTGCTACCCACCCAGCCGATGGTCGTGTCGTGTGGGTTCATTTTTACTTTGAAAAACCGATTTTTCATCGTTTAGGTTTACGTTCATTCATAATGAAGGGGTTTGACTCGAAAACGTGATATTACCCGCAAGGCTAAAGAGCCTTTTAATGCTTGCAGGTTGAATGAGTTTTCTCTTCACCGCTCACGATATCGACCGGTATCCTTTCCGTTACTGTGTCTGACTGAGATTTGGAATGATTCTCAAAAAACCAACAGTTGGAGCGGTTTTTATATCCTCTAGCGCCTAACCACAAGGAATAGATATTTTGGAAAAATGCGGCGCTTGTCGGTGTGGATCCACCAAATCAGCAGGTATGACCAGGTAATGCCTGGGATTGGCTTCCGGGGTGTAATTTTGGACTGATGATATGTCGACGGGCGATTCCGGGCTCTCGTTCCCCAGTGCTGGTGCTCCTTTTAATTATGCATCACAGCGAGCAGCTAGGCGTCCTCTCTTCCAATATCATCGTTGTATGCTTCACGATGCTTCTGAGAATGGCATTCTCTAGGAATTCCTCTGCAGATTCGCTTCACCGATTTCTCAAAGAGGTTTCGAATGCGTTCCTTCTCTAACAACGAACAACTCCCATGCTCTTCTTTTTCGTCCGGGGTTTTTCGGCGGTTGCGCAACGTTTTCTTCGCAATAGCGTATCCTTGCTTTTCTGGCAGGTATTGTGGAAGCATGAAACGGTTTTGGGTGAGAATATTTGCGTCTCTTTGTGAAGCCGACTATTTGCGTCTTGTGACGAAGTTGCACTAATAGGACATCGCCCATTAGATGCTTTCGTTATTAATGTTTGAGTGATTATGGCTTCCCGGATGTTGGTTTTGCTTCCCCTGATTATTTTTGCGGTATCAATAACACAGTCCAGAACAGCTAAATAGGCTGTTCTACTTTGGCGTCCGGACAGGGTCTAGCGTTGTGATGGAAGTTTTTTTCTAACGCGATCCCTTCACATACATAACCTACTACTACCTTCTTGCTGTCTGTGGTGCCACCTTTACAGGGTACCCCCCAGGAGGCCCGTCGCGCGGCAAGAAGGCAGAGTCGGCGGACGAGTTGCAGCGCGTGGTGTGCGATGTAGGACGTGCAATGGGACACTCTATTTAACTTGACGCGAAATCCCTATAGTACGCGCGCGACTCGTCCGCTGACTTTGCCCGCGCGACGGGCCTCCTGGGGGTTCCTCGAATGGCATTTCACTTTGAATACAAAAGATTAGTTACATAGAATTTGTGCTCACTCAGTTAATAATCAGTTCTGCGATGTATTAGCCCGTAACCACAGTGTGCCAAGGATATTCGACCTACTCATGCGTTATACTAGGTTCCTTTGAGGGTGTATCTCGGAAGGCAGAGTAAAGATTTTAGTTATACTGTGGTCCTCAATATATAATAACTCTAGTCGAAAACATCTGAGTCGCTGAGAATCTTTCATCCGGCCATTTTGTGATGCCGGAATAATGGACGTTAGGATCAGCTCACTCTATTCGTTGTAACCCTATTAATCTTACGTACTATGAGGAATCTTCCACGTTCCTTGTGGCTGATGAGAATTTTTCCAAGCGGTATTATTTAAATTGGTTCTCAGCCTTCTCATGCGTAACCAAACCGTGGCATGGTTTTGATTTTTTGGTATTTTTACATTCTGCAGTTCGGTAAGGGCGCTTCTACTTCCCATCCCGTTGATTCTGTTGATTTTTTTTCGAGAGCTTCACAAGGAACCCTTGAGGTTCCGCTGTTCCATAGGATTCGACGCTCTGAGGCAGTTGGTTTGCGTTTTTGGTGAAATATTGCTCGTAGAAGGTGCATGATAGCCGGGTTGGCCAGGATTAGTAGTCGTGTCACGCGCGCCCATCGAAACGGCAGTGCAGCTGGTCTTGTGCTTGATCAGAGCGGCAGCCGGAGCGTATTGCTTATTAGCACACTAATTTCCTTCTTCTGCCTGTGTGTACGCGCACTGCTACCCGCCCAGCCGATGGTCGTGTCGTGTGGGTTTTTTTTACTTTGAAAAACCGATTTTTCATCGTTTAGGTTGTACGTCATACATAATAAAAGCCTTTGTCTCGAAAGTATGATAATTCAGTGCTAAGGAGCCTTTTAATACTTGCGATTGAACTAGTTTTCTATCGTTATCACCGAATCCTTTTCGTTAACCGTGTTTGACTGAGTTTTTGGAAATAATTCTCGTTTTTAGGAATAGTGAAACTAACAGTTGGAAGGGTTTTTATATCCTCTAGCGCCTAACCGCAGGAAATAGATATTTTGGGAAGATGCAGCGCTTGTAGGAGCGCAACCACTAAATCATCAGGTATGACCGGGTAGTGCCTGGGATTGGCTTCCGGGGTGTAATTTTGGACTGATGATATGTCGACGGGCGATTCCGGGCTCTCGTTCCCCAGTGCTGGTGCTGCTTTTAATTATGCATCACAGCGAGCAGCTAGGCGTCCTCTCTTCCAATATCATAGTTGTATGCTTTCACGATGCTTCTGAGAATGGCATTCTCTAGGAATTCCCTCTGCAGATTCGCTTCACCGATTTCTCAAAGAGGTTCGAATGCGTTCCTTCTCTAACAACGAACAACTCCCATGCTCTTCTTTTTCGTCCGGGGTTTTTCGGCGGTTGCGCAACGTTTTCTTCGCAATAGCGTATCCTTGCTTTTCTGGCAGGTATTGTGGAAGCATGAAACGGTTTCGGGTGAAAATATTTGCGTCTCTTTGTGAAGCCGACTATTTGCGTCTTATGACGAAGTTGCACTAATAGGACATCGCCCATTAGATGCTTTCGTTATTAATGTTTGAGTGATTATGGCTTCCCGGATGTTGGTTTTGCTTCTCCTGATTATTTTTGCTGGATCAATAACAC